GCATATTGCATGTCTCTGTGGCGCAATTGGTTAGCGCGTTCGGCTGTTAACCGAAAGGTTGGTGGTTCAAGTCCACCCAGGGACGTTTACTGTTTGAATAAACATGTAAAGTAACATGCCAGTTGACGTGTTCAGGGGCAAGGTTCTAGGAAACCAGTAAAAATAATATAACTGTTACACACCATCATTTGCTGTACGTCCTTGTTTCCACAAAAATTGAAGACGTGAACTAAAGCTTTAAAAACTAGCGCACATTTAGCTTCCACAGGTATCATTTGAGGCAACTTCTACTTCTCTGTATTCTAGGCAAACAAACTTCTTGAATCAAAGAGCAAATGAAAGCGGGTGGGGGCAGGGATACATGCCACGACCCTTACAGCAGCATAGCATATTGCATGTCTCTGTGGCGCAATTGGTTAGCGCGTTCGGCTGTTAACCGAAAGGTTGGTGGTTCAAGTCCACCCAGGGACGTTTACTGTTTGAATAAACATGTAAGTAACATGCCAGTTGACGTGTTCAGGGGCAAGGTTCTAGGAAACCAGTAAAAACAATATAACTGTTACACATCATCATTTGCTGTACGTCCTTGTTTCCACAAAAATTGAAGACAGTGAACTAAAGCTTTAAAAACTAGCGCACATTTAGCTTCCACAGGTATCATTTGAGGCAACTTCTACTTCTCTGTATTCTAGGCAAACAAACTTCTTGAATCAAAGAGCAAATGAAAGCGGGTGGAGCAGGGATACATGCCACGACCCTTACAGCAGCATAGCATATTGCATGTCTCTGTGGCGCAATTGGTTAGCGCGTTCGGCTGTTAACCGAAAGGTTGGTGGTTCAAGTCCACCCAGGGACGTTTACTGTTTGAATAAACATGTAAGTAACATGCCAGTTGACGTGTTCAGGGGCAAGGTTCTAGGAAACCAGTAAAAATAATATAACTGTTACACATCATCATTTGCTGTACGTCCTTGTTTCCACAAAAATTGAAGACGTGAACTAAAGCTTTAAAAACTAGCGCACATTTAGCTTCCACAGGTATCATTTGAGGCAACTTCTACTTCTCTGTATTCTAGGCAAACAAACTTCTTGAATCAAAGAGCAAATGAAAGCGGGTGGAGCAGGGATACATGCCACGACCCTTACAGCAGCATAGCATATTGCATGTCTCTGTGGCGCAATTGGTCAGCGCGTTCGGCTGTTAACCGAAAGGTTGGTGGTTCAAGTCCACCCAGGGACGTTTACTGTTTGAATAAACATGTAAAGTAACATGCCAGTTGACGTGTTCAGGGGCAAGGTTCTAGGAAACCAGTAAAAACAATATAACTGTTACACATCATCATTTGCTGTACGTCCTTGTTTCCACAAAAATTGAAGACGTGAACTGAAGCTTTAAAAACTAGCCCACATTTAGCTTCCACAGGTATCATTTGAGGCAACTTCTACTTCTCTGTATTCTAGGCAAACAAACTTCTTGAATCAAAGAGCAAATGAAAGCGGGTGGAGCAGGGATACATGCCACGACCCTTACAGCAGCATAGCATATTGCATGTCTCTGTGGCGCAATTGGTCAGCGCGTTCGGCTGTTAACCGAAAGGTTGGTGGTTCAAGTCCACCCAGGGACGTTTACTGTTTGAATAAACATGTAAAGTAACATGCCAGTTGACGTGTTCAGGGGCAAGGTTCTAGGAAACCAGTAAAAACAATATAACTGTTACACATCATCATTTGCTGTACGTCCTTGTTTCCACAAAAATTGAAGACATGAACTAAAGCTTTAAAAACTAGCGCACATTTAGCTTCCACAGGTATCATTTGAGGCAACTTCTACTTCTCTGTATTCTAGGCAAACAAACTTCTTGAATCAAAGAGCAAATGAAAGCGGGTGGAGCAGGGATACATGCCACGACCCTTACAGCAGCATAGCATATTGCATGTCTCTGTGGCGCAATTGGTCAGCGCGTTCGGCTGTTAACCGAAAGGTTGGTGGTTCAAGTCCACCCAGGGACGTTTACTGTTTGAATAAACATGTAAAGTAACATGCCAGTTGACGTGTTCAGGGGCAAGGTTCTAGGAAACCAGTAAAAACAATATAACTGTTACACATCATCATTTGCTGTACGTCCTTGTTTCCACAAAAATTGAAGACATGAACTAAAGCTTTAAAAACTACCGCACATTTAGCTTCCACAGGTATCATTTGAGGCAACTTCTACTTCTCTGTATTCTAGGCAAACAAACTTCTTGAATCAAAGAGCAAATGAAAGCGGGTGGAGCAGGGATACATGCCACGACCCTTACAGCAGCATAGCATATTGCATGTCTCTGTGGCGCAATTGGTTAGCGCGTTCGGCTGTTAACCGAAAGGTTGGTGGTTCAAGTCCACCCAGGGACGTTTACTGTTTGAATAAACATGTAAGGAAACATGCCAGTTGACGTGTTCAGGGGCAAGGTTCTAGGAAACCAGTAAAAATAATATAACTGTTACACATCATCATTTGCTGTACGTCCTTGTTTCCACAAAAATTGAAGACGTGAACTAAAGCTTTAAAAACTAGCGCACATTTAGCTTCCACAGGTATCATTTGAGGCAACTTCTACTTCTCTGTATTCTAGGCAAACAAACTTCTTGAATCAAAGAGCAAATGAAAGCGGGTGGGGGCAGCGATCCATGCCACGCCCCTTTTAACATATTGCATGTCTCTGTGGCGCAATTGGTTAGCGCGTTCGGCTGTTAACCGAAAGGTTGGTGGTTCAAGTCCACCCAGGGACGTTTACTGTTTGAATAAACATGTAAGTAACATGCCAGTTGACGTGTTCAGGGGCAAGGTTCTAGGAAACCAGTAAAAACAATATAACTGTTACACATCATCATTTGCTGTACGTCCTTGTTTCCACAAAAATTGAAGACGTGAACTGAAGCTTTAAAAACTGCTGCACATTTAGCTTCCACAGGTATCATTTGAGGCAACTTCTACTTCTCTGTATTCTAGGCAAACAAACTTCTTGAATCAAAGAGCAAATGAAAGCGGGTGGAGCAGGGATACATGCCACGACCCTTACAGCAGCATAGCATATTGCATGTCTCTGTGGCGCAATTGGTTAGCGCGTTCGGCTGTTAACCGAAAGGTTGGTGGTTCAAGTCCACCCAGGGACGTTTACTGTTTGAATAAACATGTAAAGTAACATGCCAGTTGACGTGTTCAGGGGCAAGGTTCTAGGAAACCAGTAAAAATAATATAACTGTTACACATCATCATTTGCTGTACGTCCTTGTTTCCACAAAAATTGAAGACGTGAACTAAAGCTTTAAAAACTAGCGCACATTTAGCTTCCACAGGTATCATTTGAGGCAACTTCTACTTCTCTGTATTCTAGGCAAACAAACTTCTTGAATCAAAGAGCAAATGAAAGCGGGTGGAGCAGGGATACATGCCACGACCCTTACAGCAGCATAGCATATTGCATGTCTCTGTGGCGCAATTGGTTAGCGCGTTCGGCTGTTAACCGAAAGGTTGGTGGTTCAAGTCCACCCAGGGACGTTTACTGTTTGAATAAACATGTAAGGTAACATGCCAGTTGACGTGTTCAGGGGCAAGGTTCTAGGAAACCAGTAAAAACAATATAACTGTTACACATCATCATTTGCTGTACGTCCTTGTTTCCACAAAAATTGAAGACATGAACTAAAGCTTTAAAAACTAGCGCACATTTAGCTTCCACAGGTATCATTTGAGGCAACTTCTACTTCTCTGTATTCTAGGCAAACAAACTTCTTGAATCAAAGAGCAAATGAAAGCGGGTGGAGCAGGGATACATGCCACGCCCCTTACAGCAGCATAGCATATTGCATGTCTCTGTGGCGCAATTGGTTAGCGCGTTCGGCTGTTAACCGAAAGGTTGGTGGTTCAAGTCCACCCAGGGACGTTTACTGTTTGAATAAACATGTAAAGTAACATGCCAGTTGACGTGTTCAGGGGCAAGGTTCTAGGAAACCAGTAAAAATAATATAACTGTTACACATCATCATTTGCTGTACGTCCTTGTTTCCACAAAAATTGAAGACGTGAACTAAAGCTTTAAAAACTGCTGCACATTTAGCTTCCACAGGTATCATTTGAGGCAACTTCTACTTCTCTGTATTCTAGGCAAACAAACTTCTTGAATCAAAGAGCAAATTAAGGAGGGTGGGGGCAGCGATCCATGCCAAGCCCCTTTTAGCATATTGCATGTCTCTGTGGCGCAATTGGTTAGCGCGTTCGGCTGTTAACCGAAAGGTTGGTGGTTCAAGTCCACCCAGGGACGTTTACTGTTTGAATAAACATGTAAAGTAACATGCCAGTTGACGTGTTCAGGGGCAAGGTTCTAGGAAACCAGTAAAAACAATATAACTGTTACACATCATCATTTGCTGTACGTCCTTGTTTCCACAAAAATTAAAGACATGAACTAAAGCTTTAAAAACTAGCGCACATTTAGCTTCCACAGGTATCATTTGAGGCAACTTCTACTTCTCTGTATTCTAGGCAAACAAACTTCTTGAATCAAAGAGCAAATGAAAGCGGGTGGAGCAGGGATACATGCCACGACCCTTACAGCAGCATAGCATATTGCATGTCTCTGTGGCGCAATTGGTCAGCGCGTTCGGCTGTTAACCGAAAGGTTGGTGGTTCAAGCCCACCCAGGGACGTTTACTGTTTGAATAAACATGTAAGTAACATGCCAGTTGACGTGTTCAGGGGCAAGGTTCTAGGAAACCAGTAAAAACAATATAACTGTTACACATCATCATTTGCTGTACGTCCTTGTTTCCACAAAAATTGAAGACGTGAACTAAAGCTTTAAAAACTAGCGCACATTTAGCTTCCACAGGTATCATTTGAGGCAACTTCTACTTCTCTGTATTCTAGGCAAACAAACTTCTTGAATCAAAGAGCAAATGAAAGCGGGTGGAGCAGGGATACATGCCACGACCCTTACAGCAGCATAGCATATTGCATGTCTCTGTGGCGCAATTGGTTCAGCGCGTTCGGCTGTTAACCGAAAGGTTGGTGGTTCAAGTCCACCCAGGGACGTTTACTGTTTGAATAAACATGTAAAGTAACATGCCAGTTGACGTGTTCAGGGGCAAGGTTCTAGGAAACCAGTAAAAACAATATAGCTGTTACACATCATCATTTGCTGTACGTCCTTGTTTCCACAAAAATTAAAGACGTGAACTAAAGCTTTAAAAACTAGCGCACATTTAGCTTCCACAGGTATCATTTGAGGCAACTTCTACTTCTCTGTATTCTAGGCAAACAAACTTCTTGAATCAAAGAGCAAATGAAAGCGGGTGGAGCAGGGATACATGCCACGCCCCTTACAGCAGCATAGCATATTGCATGTCTCTGTGGCGCAATTGGTCAGCGCGTTCGGCTGTTAACCGAAAGGTTGGTGGTTCAAGTCCACCCAGGGACGTTTACTGTTTGAATAAACATGTAAAGTAACATGCCAGTTGACGTGTTCAGGGGCAAGGTTCTAGGAAACCAGTAAAAACAATATAACTGTTACACATCATCATTTGCTGTACGTCCTTGTTTCCACAAAAATTGAAGACAGTGAACTAAAGCTTTAAAAACTAGCGCACATTTAGCTTCCACAGGTATCATTTGAGGCAACTTCTACTTCTCTGTATTCTAGGCAAACAAACTTCTTGAATCAAAGAGCAAATGAAAGCGGGTGGAGCAGGGATACATGCCACGACCCTTACAGCAGCATAGCATATTGCATGTCTCTGTGGCGCAATTGGTCAGCGCGTTCGGCTGTTAACCGAAAGGTTGGTGGTTCAAGTCCACCCAGGGACGTTTACTGTTTGAATAAACATGTAAGTAACATGCCAGTTGACGTGTTCAGGGGCAAGGTTCTAGGAAACCAGTAAAAATAATATAACTGTTACACATCATCATTTGCTGTACGTCCTTGTTTCCACAAAAATTGAAGACGTGAACTAAAGCTTTAAAAACTAGCGCACATTTAGCTTCCACAGGTATCATTTGAGGCAACTTCTACTTCTCTGTATTCTAGGCAAACAAACTTCTTGAATCAAAGAGCAAATGAAAGCGGGTGGAGCAGGGATACATGCCACGACCCTTACAGCAGCATAGCATATTGCATGTCTCTGTGGCGCAATTGGTCAGCGCGTTCGGCTGTTAACCGAAAGGTTGGTGGTTCAAGTCCACCCAGGGACGTTTACTGTTTGAATAAACATGTAAAGTAACATGCCAGTTGACGTGTTCAGGGGCAAGGTTCTAGGAAACCAGTAAAAACAATATAACTGTTACACATCATCATTTGCTGTACGTCCTTGTTTCCACAAAAATTGAAGACGTGAACTAAAGCTTTAAAAACTGCCGCACATTTAGCTTCCACAGGTATCATTTGAGGCAACTTCTACTTCTCTGTATTCTAGGCAAACAAACTTCTTGAATCAAAGAGCAAATGAAAGCGGGTGGAGCAGGGATACATGCCACGACCCTTACAGCAGCATAGCATATTGCATGTCTCTGTGGCGCAATTGGTTAGCGCGTTCGGCTGTTAACCGAAAGGTTGGTGGTTCAAGTCCACCCAGGGACGTTTACTGTTTGAATAAACATGTAAGTAACATGCCAGTTGACGTGTTCAGGGGCAAGGTTCTAGGAAACCAGTAAAAACAATATAACTGTTACACATCATCATTTGCTGTACGTCCTTGTTTCCACAAAAATTGAAGACATGAACTGAAGCTTTAAAAACTAGCGCACATTTAGCTTCCACAGGTATCATTTGAGGCAACTTCTACTTCTCTGTATTCTAGGCAAACAAACTTCTTGAATCAAAGAGCAAATGAAAGCGGGTGGAGCAGGGATACATGCCACGCCCCTTACAGCAGCATAGCATATTGCATGTCTCTGTGGCGCAATTGGTTAGCGCGTTCGGCTGTTAACCGAAAGGTTGGTGGTTCAAGTCCACCCAGGGACGTTTACTGTTTGAATAAACATGTAAGGAAACATGCCAGTTGACGTGTTCAGGGGCAAGGTTCTAGGAAACCAGTAAAAATAATATAACTGTTACACATCATCATTTGCTGTACGTCCTTGTTTCCACAAAAATTGAAGACGTGAACTAAAGCTTTAAAAACTAGCGCACATTTAGCTTCCACAGGTATCATTTGAGGCAACTTCTACTTCTCTGTATTCTAGGCAAACAAACTTCTTGAATCAAAGAGCAAATGAAAGCGGGTGGGAGCAGGGATACATGCCACGCCCCTTTTAGCATATTGCATGTCTCTGTGGCGCAATTGGTTAGCGCGTTCGGCTGTTAACCGAAAGGTTGGTGGTTCAAGTCCACCCAGGGACGTTTACTGTTTGAATAAACATGTAAGGTAACATGCCAGTTGACGTGTTCAGGGGCAAGGTTCTAGGAAACCAGTAAAAACAATATAACTGTTACACATCATCATTTGCTGTACGTCCTTGTTTCCACAAAAATTGAAGACATGAACTAAAGCTTTAAAAACTAGCGCACATTTAGCTTCCACAGGTATCATTTGAGGCAACTTCTACTTCTCTGTATTCTAGGCAAACAAACTTCTTGAATCAAAGAGCAAATGAAAGCGGGTGGAGCAGGGATACATGCCACGACCCTTACAGCAGCATAGCATATTGCATGTCTCTGTGGCGCAATTGGTCAGCGCGTTCGGCTGTTAACCGAAAGGTTGGTGGTTCAAGTCCACCCAGGGACGTTTACTGTTTGAATAAACATGTAAAGTAACATGCCAGTTGACGTGTTCAGGGGCAAGGTTCTAGGAAACCAGTAAAAACAATATAACTGTTACACATCATCATTTGCTGTACGTCCTTGTTTCCACAAAAATTGAAGACGTGAACTAAAGCTTTAAAAACTAGCGCACATTTAGCTTCCACAGGTATCATTTGAGGCAACTTCTACTTCTCTGTATTCTAGGCAAACAAACTTCTTGAATCAAAGAGCAAATGAAAGCGGGTGGAGCAGGGATACATGCCACGCCCCTTTTAGCATATTGCATGTCTCTGTGGCGCAATTGGTTAGCGCGTTCGGCTGTTAACCGAAAGGTTGGTGGTTCAAGTCCACCCAGGGACGTTTACTGTTGAATAAACATGTAAAGTAACATGCCAGTTGACGTGTTCAGGGGCAAGGTTCTAGGAAACCAGTAAAAACAATATAACTGTTACACATCATCATTTGCTGTACGTCCTTGTTTCCACAAAAATTGAAGACGTGAACTAAAGCTTTAAAAACTAGCGCACATTTAGCTTCCACAGGTATCATTTGAGGCAACTTCTACTTCTCTGTATTCTAGGCAAACAAACTTCTTGAATCAAAGAGCAAATGAAAGCGGGTGGGGGCAGGGATACATGCCACGCCCCTTACAGCAGCATAGCATATTGCATGTCTCTGTGGCGCAATTGGTTAGCGCGTTCGGCTGTTAACCGAAAGGTTGGTGGTTCAAGTCCACCCAGGGACGTTTACTGTTTGAATAAACATGTAAAGTAACATGCCAGTTGACGTGTTCAGGGGCAAGGTTCTAGGAAACCAGTAAAAACAATATAACTGTTACACATCATCATTTGCTGTACGTCCTTGTTTCCACAAAAATTAAAGACATGAACGAAAGCTTTAAAAACTAGCGCACATTTAGCTTCCACAGGTATCATTTGAGGCAACTTCTACTTCTCTGTATTCTAGGCAAACAAACTTCTTGAATCAAAGAGCAAATGAAAGCGGGTGGAGCAGGGATACATGCCACGACCCTTACAGCAGCATAGCATATTGCATGTCTCTGTGGCGCAATTGGTTAGCGCGTTCGGCTGTTAACCGAAAGGTTGGTGGTTCAAGTCCACCCAGGGACGTTTACTGTTTGAATAAACATGTAAGGAAACATGCCAGTTGACGTGTTCAGGGGCAAGGTTCTAGGAAACCAGTAAAAACAATATAGCTGTTACACATCATCATTTGCTGTACGTCCTTGTTTCCACAAAAATTAAAGACATGAACGAAAGCTTTAAAAACTAGCCCACATTTAGCTTCCACAGGTATCATTTGAGGCAACTTCTACTTCTCTGTATTCTAGGCAAACAAACTTCTTGAATCAAAGAGCAAATGAAAGCGGGTGGAGCAGGGATACATGCCACGACCCTTACAGCAGCATAGCATATTGCATGTCTCTGTGGCGCAATTGGTTAGCGCGTTCGGCTGTTAACCGAAAGGTTGGTGGTTCAAGCCCACCCAGGGACGTTTACGGTTAGAATAAACATGTAAAGTAACATGCCAGTTGACGTGTTCAGGGGCAAGGTTCTAGGAAACCAGTAAAAATAATATAACTGTTACACATCATCATTTGCTGTACGTCCTTGTTTCCACAAAAATTGAAGACATGAACTGAAAGCTTTAAAAACTAGCGCACATTTAGCTTCCACAGGTATCATTTGAGGCAACTTCTACTTCTCTGTATTCTAGGCAAACAAACTTCTTGAATCAAAGAGCAAATGAAAGCGGGTGGAGCAGGGATACATGCCACGCCCCTTACAGCAGCATAGCATATTGCATGTCTCTGTGGCGCAATTGGTTAGCGCGTTCGGCTGTTAACCGAAAGGTTGGTGGTTCAAGTCCACCCAGGGACGTTTACTGTTTGAATAAACATGTAAGGTAACATGCCAGTTGACGTGTTCAGGGGCAAGGTTCTAGGAAACCAGTAAAAACAATATAACTGTTACACATCATCATTTGCTGTACGTCCTTGTTTCCACAAAAATTGAAGACGTGAACTAAAGCTTTAAAAACTAGCGCACATTTAGCTTCCACAGGTATCATTTGAGGCAACTTCTACTTCTCTGTATTCTAGGCAAACAAACTTCTTGAATCAAAGAGCAAATGAAAGCGGGTGGAGCAGGGATACATGCCACGACCCTTACAGCAGCATAGCATATTGCATGTCTCTGTGGCGCAATTGGTTAGCGCGTTCGGCTGTTAACCGAAAGGTTGGTGGTTCAAGTCCACCCAGGGACGTTTACGGTTA